TTAGAGGAGCATATCCAATCTTTACCTTTTTTTTATATTAAAANTGTGGAGGCTGGTCTCTGCAACAAGACTTTGCTGTGGTCTTTTTCTTGAATTTACCAGCAGATATTCACACTTGTTCCCTCCTCGTAGTATTTTGTTTAAAGGTTAGGAGGGCCGATCCAAATCAAAATATTTAGTGCTTGAGCAATTCTTTTCGGCATGCAAAATGGACTTCGACAAAAAAAATTACAGCACGATTTGAATTTGAACAATTCCCAAGTTGGAACTTCGAATTCTTAGATTTTAATCCTAACCCAATTCAAATTAATTGGGGGTTTTATATTTTCGATTGAGCCGGAGCTGACCTATTAACCATCCAATCCGCCCGAATTGCCCCCACCAATATAGCTCCTATCTTTTACTATTCATGACAATCCTACAGTACTGAATCAACACCTTTGCGGATTTTATGCATAGCATGTCTTTTTAATGGGGCTTTGGGCTTAGAGGAGCATATCCAATCTTTACCTTTTTTTTATATTAAAATTTAAATTTTACTAAAAAAGTTTTAAAAACTTTCTCTAATCATACTCAAACATATANCGGGGCTTAGGGCTTAGAGGAGCATATCCAATCTTTACTTTTTTTTTATATTAAAATTTAAATTTTACTAAAAAAGTTTTAAAAACTTTCTCTAATCATACTCAAACATATATCAAATTAAGAGACACTAAAAATTTTACTAAAATCAAGGGAGGTTCGAATTTTTACTCAAATCACTATTAGTTAAATTTTATTTTATTTTAAAGATTTAATAGTCATATTTCACTCTATTTCAAATTTGAGTTTGTTGATTAAAATCATTTGTATCAAATCAAACTTTTTACTCAAATATTAACTTAAATTTGAATAAAAATTTGAGTCAAATTTAGAGAATGACGATACTTTAAGGAGTCGGTTTACAAAACAACGTCATCTCTAAAAACTTTTCTTTTGAGTAGTCCCACTTTTATCTTTCGGTTAATACACCATTTTTACACGATTTAAAGATTTGAGTCATTTAAAGTAAAAGTTTATTTTTTCGCATTTTCTCTTTAAACAAAAGCAAAGGAAAAGGAAAACAAAACTAGTAAAAAAGAAAAGGCCAATAATAACAACATTTCATGACATAAAAGTAGAAAGAGGCAAAATGATAAGCTGATCATGTTTTTTTTTTTTCCAATCACGAAGTTGGGGCAATATAGGGTTGTTGGATCATAGCAATTTGATAGAGATGTTTGATGATTAGACCATCCTTTTGCTAAGAAGGACTCGATGTACCCAACTAGGTACAGTGTATCATTATTAAAGTGGGTGTTAGGATGTTATCTTCCAACATTAGGTGGTGGAGCCAATTATTAGTCAAGATCCTCCATGATCAATGAACCATCATTAACCCTTGCTTCCACTTAAGATTTCGATTATCCTATGAATCCAAACTATTATTTCAATACCCTCTTTGCAAGAAAGTTACCCAACAGACCCCTGCAGAGTCCAATGAAGCGTGCTCAAAAAGAGGAATTAAGAAGAAATTGAATAAAGCAAGACTTTATTCTTTGAAGATCAAGTTTTATCCGAACAAAAACAGATAAATTCAACATTTAAAATAAATATATTCGGTACTTACTAATTCAACCCGTTTCATAACTAAAATTTAAACTCTTTTAATATGTTAAGTGTTCCTTAAAAATAGGTAACAATATTAAATAAGAAATTTCTTATTTAATTCTGAAAAGTGAAAGCGTTCAGTAAAATTATATTTAATAATATTAACAGTATGACAATTATATCCCAAAATATTTTATAATCCTATTAAAACTCTAATTAATCTTCTTTCTAAAACTCCTAACTTATCTATCCTCCTTATCAATTGTCTTCTTCAATGACAAAGTAAGTTTTCCGTTAGCTTCCCTTGTCTTCTTTTTCTTCTTTTTTTTTTTTTTTCTCTTGTCTGATGCAAACACGCATACGTCAACACACACACACACACACATATTGTTAATGAAATTTAATTTAATTTATTTTTTCAATTCGATTATTTATTAGTTGTTGTTGTTTTTTTTAATGACATATTATTATTTAGTTATTGTGTTATTCAATTTATTATTATTCACTTATTGTGATTGTTCATTTATTGTTATTCGATTATTTAATAGTTATTATTATTTTTTTTATCATATTTTATTGTTCACTTATAGTGTTATTTAATTTGTTATGGTTCACTTATTGTGATTTAATTATTTATTTGCTCTTGTTCTTTTTTTTGGATCACATCTTATTGTTCACTTATTATGTTATTCAATTTATTATTATTTACTTATTGTTATTCGATTATTTATTATTTATTATTATTTTTTGATAAAATTTTATTATTCACTTATTGTGCATATTTTATAAATATTTTCAAATTGAATAGTAGAGGGTAAAATTAAAAATTAATTTATTTTCAGACGTTAACTCTGTATAGTTATCAGACAGTTTGATTTAATTCAATACTTAAATTTCAGTAGATATCAAACAATTCACAAATTTAACATTTAACTTTTAATTTTCAGATTTCAACTTTCAATTTTAACAAATATCACTTAAGATATGCTTGCTTGTTTACTTTCATAATCTTTATTGCTTTATACATAGTCTCCGGCCGCTCAACCTCCGGCCTCTGACAGTTTAATTGTTTTACAAGCATGAGGTGCACTTTTGTTCGTTTCTCTGAAAACCATACACTGTCTTTTCGACACCTTCAATTCAAGATACAAGATTTTTCTTTCCGCCGAAACTAAAGATGTCCATGGGCCAGACCAAACCGGGCCTGATCTTGCACAGACATGTCCCATGGAATGTCCAGTGAATTGTGCTTACATTTACAAATTTTCCCCACATACCATGTCGTTTATGCTCGTTGGATGGGTTACAATAGTCAAAATAAAGGTTTTTTGAAAGTCGGTACGTCTTATTAGATTTATTTGATAAAAAGTACATAAAATAAAAAGTGAGTTAAAAAGACATAAATACCTATTTTAAGATCATTTAATTCAAAATCTGTTATCTTTAATGCACCTTGATTAATGTGTGTTTGTTAATGTATATAAATACGTATTTAATGCACCTTGATTGATGTATATTTGTTAATATATATATATATATATATATATACACACATATATATTTGTTATTAAATCTCTTATTTAAATTTTGAATTATCTTTAATGTATCTTGATTCATGCGTATTTTTTTTTAAAAGTGATTTTGTTTTCAAATTATATTTAATGTATCTTGATTCAAGCTTTTTTTTTTTTTTTGAAAAATAGTTTTATTTTCAAATTAATTTAATATCCAAATAATGTAATAGTATAACAATAACAGTGTAATAATAATAATGTAACAAATACAATATAACAAAGACAGTGTAACAAATACATTGTAACAAAAAGAGTGTTCAGTAGTTTTGTGTATATGGTAACAAATTCAAAACGGAGATGAACTATTTTGAATAAAATTATATGAAACTATATGTTTAACAAAATGTAATAGCACAATATTTTATGTAAATAACTTGTTAAAATATTATTGTTATACTGTTACATTGTTAGTGTTACATTGTCACACTTTTATTGTTACACTATTATTGTTACACTGTTACACTATTATACTATTCGGATATTAAATTAATTTGAAAATAAAATTACTTTCTAAAAAAAAATGCATAAATCAAAGTGCATTAAAAGATAATTCAAAATTTAGATAAGATATTTAACAAGAAGTATATACATACATATATAAGTATATATATATGTGTGTGTGTGTGTGTGTATTAAAGTTCTCCCATAAAATTAGGAGATGTTTAATGCACCATTTTTTAAAATATATATATATATGTGTGTGTGTATTAAAGTTCTCCCATAAAACTATGAGATATTTAATGCATCATTTTTTAAAAAAAAATGGTGTATTAAATACACATGGATTAATGGAGGGTAAAAATGTCACAATAAAAATAGATAAATTCAAATTATGTACTTGAATACAAATAAGTATCAAAATTAAGTACTTAATAACTTTACATTTTTTAATGTATGCTTTTTGATAAATAAATCTAATTTGATGTATCTCTTTACAATTTACCCTTAAAATAACCGCTCTTGACTGTTGGGAACCTTCTCAAAGGCAAACACACTTAAATTTGTTGGGTTCAATCATGCTGGACCCAGCGAAACTAAAGCCCAAGCCTGCCCAAACTCCGAAGCCGACAAGGGGTTGGGTTGACCCATGACCTTTTTTGTTGGGGGCTTTAGGCAACTATGGACTTGTTCAACCCATGGATGGCCCTATATGAAACAGACAACTTAAATCAAAACTTTATGGTCCATTACAAACTGGTTAGCAAGGTTAGAGTGAGATTGCTAATATAATAGTCTACTCGACCATTACTGTCACATGATATTATCATCTCAGCCTTGTGCCCTTGTGATCCCTTAAAGGGAGTCAACCAAAGTAGAAGTGAATGCCAAGATGTTTTCCAAAACGACAAAAAAGATTTAAGCCAATCTCAAAATTACAGAGCCCATCGGAATCATTAGTAATTCTCCCTTCAAAGAATGATAAAGGATGAAACAAGATGATGAAGAAGATGACAAAAGTATGGAGTCAAAATTAGAAAGAGAATACGGAGATCTCTAAAAAAAGGGAGACAAAAAAGTAATAGAAATATTGACGAAAATACAATCCGCTTTTAAATTGAAAACTATGCGCGTCACATGCTCGATCTAGTAATCTAAGACAATTCTTTTGTGAATGATAAACTAACATGTAAATTAGTGAACTTATTTTGTAACTACATTATCCATATAAAATAATAACTACTTATGTAAAAAACTCTTTTAAGTGTTGTGATTGAACCCTCCGCTTCTCTCTCTCACTCACACAAGATACATATATAGTGCCTTTGCGCAACCGAGGCATACAATCACTTCCACTCCATGAAAGCCACAAACCCATTTTTCAACAAACCAACCCTCCAACTCTTACAACAATGCAAAAACATAGACACCCTCAAACAAGTCCATGCCCAAATGATCACAACAGGTCTGATCCTCCACACCTACCCTCTCAGTCGCATCCTTCTCTTATCCTCCACCCTAGCCACCTTATCCTACACACTAGCCATCTTCAGCCAAGCCTCTCACCCGACCATCTTCATCTACAACACCCTCATCACATCCCTCACAAGCCATCAACAGAATGACCAAACCCACATAGCCTTTTCTCTCTACTGTCGCATTCTCACTCATACCAACCTCAAACCCAATGACTTTACATACCCATCTCTCTTCAAGGCTTGTAGATCGCACCCATGGCTCCAATATGGTCGAGCCTTACATACCCATGTCTTGAAATTTCTTGAGCCCTCCTATGATCACTTTGTTCAAGCCTCATTGCTCAATTTTTACTCCATAATTGGCAAAGTGAGCATTTCAAGGTACCTTTTTGATCAAATCAGTCACCCTGATTTAGCTACATGGAATTCTATATTATCTGCTTATGCTCGTAATGCTAGTGTACATTGCAATGCCATTAGTAGTGATGATATTGACGATACTGGTTTGTCATTAGAAGTTGTGTCCTTGTTTAATGATATGCAGAAGTCTCTGGTTAGGCCCAATGAGGTTACCATGGTAGCTTTAATCGGTGCTTGTGGTAATTTGGGTGCATTTGGACAAGGCACATGGGCACATGCTTATGTACTAAAGAGGAGTCTCAAATTAAACCACTACATAGGCACGGCTTTGATTGATTTCTATGCCAATTGTGGATGTCTCGGACTTGCATTTCAGTTGTTTGATCAATTGCCTGAGAGAGACACATTCTGTTACAATGCAATGATTAGAGGGTTTGCAATTCATGGTCATGGGAACGAGGCACTTGAACTTTTCAAGAAAATGAACCTTGAAGGGTTGCTTCCTGATGATGTGACAATGGTAGTTACAATGTGTGCTTGCTCACATGTTGGGTTGGTTGACCAAGGTTGCAAGTATTTTGACTCTATGAAGGTGGAATATGGACTTGAGCCAAAACTTGAACACTATGGGTGCCTAGTGGATCTTTTAGGTCGAGCTGGGCGGGTTAAGGAGGCTGAGGAAAAGGTTCGGACAATGCCCATGAAGCCTAATGCAATTTTGTGGAGGTCTTTGCTAGGGGCAGCTAGAGTTCATGGCAATTTAGAGATAGGTGAACTTGCACTAGCCCACTTGACACAGTTAGAGCCAGAGATTAGTGGGAATTATGTGCTTTTATCGAATATGTATGCAAGCATGAATAGGTGGGATGATGTGAAAAGGGTGAGAAAATTGATGAAAGATCATGGGATTCATAAAGTGCCTGGAAGTAGCTTGGTTGAGACAAATGGTGCTATGCATGAGTTCATTATTGGTGACAAAACACACCCACAATTGGAAGAGATATATTTGAAGCTAGAAGACATGAATAGAAGATTGCAAGAATATGGTCATATGCCAAGAACCAAAGAAGTGCTTTTTGACATTGAAGAGGAAGAGAAGGAAGATGCACTCTCATACCACAGTGAGAGGCTAGCTATTGCGTTTGCACTCATTGCAACTGATTCCAGCTCACCAATTCGTATAATAAAGAATCTTCGAGTTTGTAGTGATTGCCATTCAATTACTAAGCTTATTTCAAAGATATATGACACAGAAATTATAGTAAGAGATCGAAATCGATTTCATCATTTTAAAGAGGGGGCTTGTTCTTGTTTGGATTACTGGTGAGAGGCTTCCTAACATTTACAATGTTCCCACAATCAAAAGAGATACACTAAAGCTAGCAGATATGACTAGAAGATGCAAAGAATATGGTCATAAGCCAAGAACCAGAGAAGTGATATTTGGCACTGAAGAGGAAGAGAAGGAAGATGCCCTCTCACACACTGAGAGGCTGGCTATTGCTTTTGGACTCATTGCATCTGGTTCCATTGCACCAGTGTTGAGTTATAAAGAATCTTCGGGTTTGTGATGATTGCCATGCAAGCAGTAAGCTTATTTCCAAGGTTGATGACAGAGAGACTATAATAATAGATTGAAATTGATTTCATCATTTTAAAGAGAGGACTTGTTATTGCTTGGATTGGTGGTGAGGCTTCCTAACATTCAGAATGTTCCCACACTAAAAAAAGAGAGTTATTTGAGGTCAGAATAGAAGATTGCAAGAATATGGCCATAGGCCAAGAACTAGAGAAGTGTCAATTGACATTGAAAAGGAAGAGAAGGAAGATGCACTCACATATCACAGTGAGAGGCTAAGTATTGCTTTTGGACTCATTACATTTGATTCTAGTGAACCAGTCCGAATGCTAAAGAATCTTCAGGTTTGTAGTGATTGATGCAAGTACTAAGCTTTTTTTGAAGATGCGTGACAGAGAAATTGTTGGGATAGGTGGCTCATAATTAAGTATAGAGAGTTACACCAGGCCAAGAAGATAATGGGCTAGTTGTCGGAGTAGTACGTGCCTTCGAGATGCCCTAATTAGAGTTGTAACATATATAAGTTGTAACTCTAATTCAGGGTTGAATATAAACAAGGCAGTCGCTCTAGAATCATGGATGTAGACAAGTTGTTGAACCACATAAATTCTTGTGTTCTTCTTATATTATTCTGTTTCATTGATTATTCATCGCACACACGAATCACAACATAAATGATAGTCGGATATTGAATCCATTTCATCAATTTAAAGAGGGGGCTTGTTCTTCTTTGGATTATTGGTGAGTCTTCCAAACGTTTAGAGTGTTCCCACAATCAAAAGAGATATATATGAAGCTAGAAGATGAATTGGAGATTGAAACAATATGGTTATATGCTAAGAACCAGAGAAGTGCTGTTTGACATTGAAGAGTAAGGTGAGTGGGTAACCATTGCTTTGGATTCATTGCACCTGATTCCAGTGCACCAATCCGAATTGTAAGGAGTTATAATTAACTCTTTTTTTTTGTTTCTATAATTTGAAGTCATAATTGTGATTTTAGTATTTATAATTTATTAAAATAACTAAGTAAATATATTAATATTTATGTACATAGAGCACTCGTACTCTTTATTTAGGAAGCATCTCTTTTAAAATAGATGACATTTTTGACCAAATTTAAAAATAGAGTTTGAAATCAAATAAAAATGTCAATTTGCCTGGCACTCCCCTCTTGCTTTGGTAGCTATTGTTTTGTTTTTGTATGTTTTTTTCTTGTTAAACAATAAATTCTTGTGTTTCTTTGCTTTCCTTATTTCATATATATCTCTGATCTTTGTCTCCAAAATTCAACACCATTTGAGGAAAATTTATCATCATCATCAAATGTTATTATTAGAAGACATGTGAGTTGACAAAGAAATTATTTTTGCATCATGAGTTTTGGATGTTATAGAGAGTATTAATGTATTTTTGGTGAGAATGTACGAAAGTAAAAAGTTTCAAGATATGATAATTTATGACGTTATAACTTATTTAGGTTATGTCAATTTTTATTATTTTGTCCAACCCTTAGTTGATTTACTTTGTGAAGTCAATGATATGTGATAATCGAATGTTAATTTGGTATTGATTGAAAAAATTAAATATTTATTGAATGAAATTTTATGTAATTAATTTGGTGTTGATTTGTTAAATTAAATTTTTATTTGATAATTTTTAATGTTAATTAAATGAATTTGACTGTCATACAAATTTCGTAAGTGTATCTGTCAAATTCGTCACATGTGGTGAGTATCTGGTATCCTTTGCTTGTAAGTCTCCCATTGGGTTCACACCGGAGACTTGGACTTTTCAAACCATGGCAAAGTCTTTTTCATTGTTGTCTTTTTTGAGTACATGTATTATTGAATAGAACATGTACCTTTGAACTTCTTTGGTTGAACCCTTTGAACCTTTTAAAGAGACCCGGACTTATGAGTTTTGTCGGTTAATCATTTGGGACATTTAAAATATTACGCATATGCTCTTTCAAATTTGCATACTCCCCGGAGTTTCTACGCACATACCCTGCTGTAAATATATCTAAACCCTCTTAAATTTATAAACATATATTACTTAGATTCTTAAGTTTAAAATATTATATTCAAACCAAAAATACTTCAATTAAAGATAAAATATCAAATATTTTAAATTTTATAATTAAAATTCAATTTTATTGTTTATTGAAATTTAATTTGGTCGTTTAAACGACCAAATTAAAATACCAAACTATCCCAATTAAAGTTAAAAGATATTTGTGTCAATTAAATTTTGATTCCTTATTTAATTTTTTAGTTTTATTCTAATAGGCAGTATTATGATATACTAACGATGATTTTTTAAAAAAAAAAATTATTTTTGATTTTATTTGAATAAATGACGTAATAAAATATAAATTTTAGATGTAAAATTCATGTTCTATTATGAATGACTTAGACTCCTTATTTATTTTTTAATTTTATTCAATAGATTGTATAATTGTATACTAATTATAATTTTTAAAGAAAAAATTAAATTATTATTTTTAATTTTATTTAAATAAATGATACAATAGAATATGAATTTTGGTTATAAAATTTAAAATATTTGATATTCTATTTTTAATTGAAATATTTTTGGTCTAAGTAAAATATTTTAAACTTAAAGAGTCTAAATATCATATACCTACAAACTTCAAAAAATTTAACTATAATTTATTAACAAATATATTTATATTACATATAAACTTCAAAGAGTCTATGTATAATATTTTAAATCTCAGACAATCGAGAGACCTTAGGGTGTAGATTCTCTATAAAAGGTTCAAATGGTTCAACTAAAGAAGTTCAAAGGGTTCATTCTCTATTCTTGTTTTTTTTTTTTTTTGGTCAGAGGGTTCATTCTCTATTTGGGCGACTAAATTTTGGGATAAAATTGCAGTCTAAATGACATAACAAAATATTATTTAAAATTTTTATTGGAGTTTAAATAACATGACATATGTCATGAGCTTTAAATTTAATCTCAAATTCTGGTCGGGGTAGTTAGTGCAACATTACTGATTCAATAATTCATTATATACATGGTGGGTGCCCGCATTTCCATGTAGCATCATATTTCAACATCTTGATCATAACTCGCTTTGCGATTCTGCAAGCCAGTTCTCTTCTCCCCAACCCATCAAGCATCACCAAACTTCGTGAGTATATTGGGTTTGAAGGGATAGTTTCAGCCCTAGAAACCGACCAAGAAAACGAAATCCATGGCGATAGAAGTTAGAACAGACATCAACCACCGACGAAGAGTCTTTGGTTCCAGCCAGTGGCTTGGAATATCAATACCCAGAATTGTTCTTGGGGACCTTGTTTTTCTGAAGCCTGGAGTGGAGACCAAGTTCCTGCTGATTGCCTCTTCTAAAGTTCGTGCTCATTACAGGTAAGTTTGTGATCATCAACCTCGTGTTGTGTTGTGTAAAAATTACTTAATTTATATTTGATCCATTTATAATGGTGTATAACCGAGTTTGTACGCCCTTGGTTATAATTTTTTCTCAGTCAATAAAAATAATGAGATACATTTATTTCATACATTACCAAGCTTGTGAATATGAAAGATCTGAAGTGGCTTCGTGAGCATGGTGGGGTTGAAGGTATTGTTTTAGCTCTAGAAACGGACCCGAAAAACGGAATCCATGGCGATATAATAGACATCAACTATCGACGAAGAGTCTTTGGTTCTAGTTTTTATCAAGAGGACAAACCTGCAAAGACATTGTACAATTTTTCATTGAGAAGAGCTCTTAAAGATCCAGTGATTCTCCTCCTGCTTTTTTGTTATGTGGTTTCTGTTAGGGAGATGTTGTGAGAACCAGCCAGTGGCCTCGAATATCAATACCCAGAATTGTTGTTGGGGACTTTGTTTTTCTGAAGCTTCGAGTGGAGACCAAGTTCCTGCTGATGGCCTCTTCTTAAGTGGGTGCTCATTACAGGTAAGGCTGTGATCATCAACCTGCTGGCATCGAAATTTACTTAATTTATATTTGATCTATTTACAATCGTATTACCGTTTGTGGTGTTCAAAGCTTTGTGATTCTACAAGCTTTGATCCAAGACTCGCTTTGTGATTCTACAAGCCAGTTCTCTTCTCCCCAACCCATCAAGCATCACCAAGCTTCGTGAGTATATTGGGTTTGAAGGGATAGTTTCAGCTCTAGAAATCGACCAAGAAAACGGAATCCATGGCGATAGAAGTTAGAACAGATATCAACAACCGAGGAAGAGTCTTTGGTTCCAGCCAGTGGCATATCCCTCAGGTTGATGTTGTGAGAACCATCCAGTGGCTTCGACTATCAATACCCAGAATTGTTGTTGGGGACTTTGTTTTTCTGAAGCCTGGAGTGGAGACCAAGTTCCTGCTGATGTCCTCTTCTTAAGTGGGTGCTCATTTCAGGTAAGGTTGTGATCATCAACCTCGTCTTGTGTTCTGTAAAAATTCACTTGATTTATATTTGATCCATTTACAATGGTATATAACTGAGATCGTACTGTGTGGTTGGGGACATAGTTTTCTTGCAGCCTGGACTCTGGAGACGAAGTTCCTGATGATGGAATCTTCTTAAGTGGGTGATCATTACAGGTATGTCGGTCATATATTGATTTTAAGGTCGTGAAATAGCAATTATAGGTATACAAATATCATTATACGTTGATATTTATCTTTATGTACCGGTCAATAATTTTCACATAAAAATTTTAATAATAACGGGTAAACATATAAACAAGTAAAAATGTGAATTAACAAATTTTATAAATTGATTGCGAGAATTCAACGTGATTGTTTTGAAAGATTATGTGATTAACACGGGGACATAAGTTGGTGAAAAATTTGTTTTTGGGCAAGAGTGTTTGAAATAACTTAAAAAAATATATTTTTTTAATATTTTGACTTATCATAAATATTTTTTAAAAAAAATNGTTTGAAATAACTTAAAAAAATATATTTTTTTAATATTTTGACTTATCATAAATATTTTTTAAAAAAAATAGCGTTTGGATCAATTTTTTAAAAACACTTTTTAATAAGTTAAAATAATTTTAGTGCTTAAATAAGCTATTAAGAAAAAGTAAAAAAAATTAACTTTTACTTCCCATAAACGTTTTTTAATTAAAACACTTAACTTCTCCCGTGTCTCTCGATCCCCCTGTATCAAATACACACTTCGGCGTTGACGTTGCGACGCCGCCAGAGGAGCTGACTCGGCTCTACGACTCGATTTTCGAGAAGTTCGACTGCGATAAAAGAGCAGGACCGTCGATCTCGACGAGTTTAGGAACGAGATGAGCAAGATTTTGCTTGCGATCGCCGACGGATTGGGCTCGCCGCCGACTCAGATGCCTCTTGAAGACGATGGTCAGAGTTTTCTCAAGTAGGCCGTAAATCTTGAAGCTTCTAAGCTTTCTCATGCTTCCTGAACGGTTGATCTTGATGGGGCGCCTTGGACCGTTGACGTGACAGTCCACAATATGTTGTACCTGCTAAAACAATCAGAATAAGGACCTGTCATTTTTCTTTTTTGCTTTTTTTTTTTTGCTTTTATCTTTATCTTTATCTTTATCTTTTATCTTTTTTATATGTATGTAATTGTGATACAAATAAATATTTTTTTAACTTATTATCCAAACACAATTTTTTGTAAAATTATTTTTATTTAAGTATTTTTTTTAATGAGCATCCAAACGATGTTTTTGGAAGAAAGTATTTTTTAATAAAGTAATTTTTAAAAAATAATTATTTAAGAAATACTTTTAAATTTAATAAATCCTCCCAAACACCGTCTTAGACCTGGCAATCTTTTGTGAAGAGCATGCCGGATGTTCAAAATTCTCTAATCAATGTTACTGCTCTATGATTGATTGCATTATTTCCCCAAGCAGTTTCTTATAAAGAGGAAGGATTGAGATCGTGTACATACTTTCGTGGAAACAACCCAGAAACTTAATGGCAGCTCCCCCCCCATTCCTACTCTCTGCTTTTTTTAACCCCTTACGCGTTTTCCGTAGAACGCCCGCCCTCTTTCACTAGATTTTCAAACGCCCACCAACTCTTGTACTTTCATGGAAACAACTTAGAAACTTAATGGCAACTCCCCCATTCCTACTCTCTGCTTATTTTAACCCCTCACGCGTTTCCGGGCATCTTTCACTAGATTTTCAAACGCCCACCAACTATTTTACTTTCGTGGAAACAACCCAGAAACTTATAGGCAAATTCCCCATTCCTACTCTCTGCTTGCTTTATTTCCTTTCGTGTTTCTCTCAAATTCTTACGTACTTTCGTGGAAATAATTCAGAAGAAACTCTTCCCCATTTCTGTTGCTTATTTTATTTTAACGCTAAATGGCTAATTACATTAATGGTCTCCAAACTATGGACTTTATTTTATTTTGATCCCTAATAATTCAATTGTATCATTTTAATCCTCGAAGTATTGAATATATTTCTATATAATCCTTCAAACAAACAATGTACAGATTATTAATAATTTTTTATTATAAACTTGTTACGTAATATCTAAATATGAAGGATCACATAGAAATATAGTCTATATTTTAGGAACTAAAATGATATAATTAAAATATTAAGAATCAAAATAAAATAAAGTATATACTTTGAAGACTGTCAGTGTAATTAACCATTTATTTTTTTCCAACTCTGGTACTTTCATGGAAATAACCCAGAAACTGCAGTGTTCCCATTCCATTCGAGATTCCTGCTGCTTATTTTATCCCCTTACGCGCTTGTTTGGCTCGAACTCTAACATTGATTAGTATTTTTTTTTTTTGGTCACGCATTGATTAGTTATTTTATCAGTTATTTTCTTATTAGACTACTAGCAATACACCACGTGCAATGCACGTAATTAATTTTTTTTTAAAAAAAATTTATAAATAAATATTTGATATATGTGCATTTGAATTAAATATCATCTCAAATTTACCAAACTTATTTTTTCATCGCTTATGCTCTATTATAGAATTTTTAAAAAGATTGTATATAAAAAAAAAGAAAATAAATAATTAAAGTTCTATTTTTTTCTGTAAGTTTGTAATTGAAAGTATTTTTTAGTGATTTTGAAAATTAATTTGATTATGATTCCACTTATCAATTATTGAACAAAATAAAAAAAATTATCAATATACCAATCATATTGGAACTTTATTGTATTTAGAATTTGTTAGGTCAATTGAAATAAAATTTAATATACAACGCTATAATATATATTATAAAGCATATTAAAATTTTAAAAAAATTTAAGTTTTCTCATAAAATCTTAATACAATTTAATAAGTTTTAATGTAGCTAAGAAATCATGTAAAAGTATATATGTTATTTTTTATCTGAAAAAATAAAGTGGTTTTGATGAAAAATAAAATATACATATGTAGTCATAATATTATCTTTATCAATGAGATGAGTAATGTTATATTGATAGAGTTTTTGAAGGTTTTTTTTTTGAATATTTTGTTAAAACTTATAATAATGCACATATTTTTAAGAATAATATAATCAATCAAAAATTTTCACAAAAAAATGACATTTATAAATGGAGAATATATAAATAAAAATTTAATTTGATTAAGATTTCACTTATAAATCATTGAATAAAATAAAAATAGTTATCAATATACGAATCATATTGGAACTCTACTGTGTTTAGAATTATCAAGGTCAATTGAGATAAAATTTAATATACAATACTATAATATATATTATAAAGCATATTAAAATTTTTTAAAAAATAAAGTTTTTAGATAAAATCTTAATGCAGACTTAAAAGTTTATTGTAACTCAAAAATATGTAAAGCTACAGTACATTATTTTTNATAAAATTTAATATACAATACTATAATATATATTATAAAGCATATTAAAATTTTTAAAAAAATCAAGTTTTTAGATAAAATCTTAATGCAGACTTAAAAGTTTATTGTAACTCAAAAATATGTAAAGCTACAGTACATTATTTTTTATCTTAAAAATGAAAGGGTTAAATATTTTGATAAAAAAATAAAATATAAATACAAGGTTAAACATTTTGATGAAAAATAAAATATACATATATAGTCATAATATTATCTTTATAAATGAGTTGAGTAATAATATATTGATAGAATTTTTGAAATGTTTTTTGAATATTTTGTTAAAACTTATAATGATGCATATCATTTTTAAGAGTAATATAATCAATTAAAAAGTTTTATAAAAATTGATATTTATACATAGGGAATATATAATTATAAATGATCTTAAATATAATTTGGAGATTTATATGCATAAGGATATGATAGTACTTTAGATATTAAGTATGGAAGGATAGGGTGACATTTTTAATTCTTTATGAGGGTAAAATAATGAATCAAATTTTTTTTATGTTAATGTACTTTTATTAGTAGTATATATTATGTTAAAGAGTTTTTTGCATTTTGTATCTTGAAAGATGTCTTGATTCCCACTTTGCACCTAAAAGATTATTTTTTCCACATTGTACCCAGAATATCATAAATTAATTTCAATATGGCCATCAAATTAACATCTATTTTAAATTCCGTTAAAAATTAATGCACTTTGTCACCCACGTGTGTTGTTGTTGTGCAAAAATGTAAACTCACTATTTATATTATTGGGTGGTATTTGCATCCATTTTGAAACTAATTTATGACATTTAAATGATGTATATTTTATTATTTTATCAACATACGAAATTAGAAAAATACTAATAAAAACTTAACGTGATAAATTACTAACATTTAATAGGTTGTAGTTCTCAATAAATATTAGAACTCACGGTTAAATCAATAATAAATATAATAGTCATATCATTAATTCAAATTTTTAAGTCAAACTTTTAAGTTTGTGGAACATTGTTCATGAAATTAATATATATATAACGAGTAATGTTATACTTAAACCTAAACATTTGACCTAACGATGTGATTTTCTTGGAACAATTGGATTAACAATAAATTTTAATAATTAATAGATCTTACAGTCAATTTAAAAGTCATAGTAAGTTAGGTCATAATAACATTTTTCAGATATTTATATAATAAAATAAGAGTGTATTTGAATTTTATCCCAGTCATATTTTCCTCCTCAAAACTACCACCAATCACTTATCTTACCCATCATCCTTTTGTCAGACTCAAACGTCAAATCATATCACTTATTTCTATCATATGNCCTCCTCAAAACTACCACCAATCACTTATCTTACCCATCATCCTTTTGTCAGACTCAAACGTCAAATCATATCACTTATTTCTATCATATGTTTAATCATTTATATATTTATTCCCTAAAAATATTACATTACTCATTTCTATCATATATTTAATAATTTAATATTTGATTAATTTGTAGTTAATATATTTTAAAAAAAATTGATATAACGAGATCAATTTTTTGGACGCTCAAATTTTATATTTTATCGTGCCTTCAGGCACGGGTTGTGACTAGTAATATAATATAAATATCTATATAATAAAATAAGAGTGTGTTTGAATTGTATCCCAGTCATATTTTTCCCCTCAAAACCATCACCAATCACTTATCTCACTCATTATCCATTTGTTAGGCTCAAACGTCAAATCAAATCATTCATTTCTATCACATATTTAATCATTTATATATTTCATCCCTAAAGATATCACACCACTCAATTCTATCGTATATTTAATTATTTAATATTTAATTAATTTGTAGTTAATATATTTTAAAAAAATTTAATATAATGGGAACAATTTTTTGGACGCTCGAATTTTATATTTTATCGTACTTTCAGACACGGGTTATATATATATATATATATATATATATATATATATATATATATATATATCACACATATATATATAATTTTTCAACCATTNTATATATATATATCAAACATATATATTTAATTTTTCAACCATTTTTTTCCTAATTTTGGAGGGATTGATTATGGAGAGTTGAAAAAAAAATTAATTTATCCACCAGTATTTTTATTTTCTTTTCAAACATGTCTTATCTATCCTTTCATCTTTTCTACCATGCGAAATAAAATATTGAATTTTTACCGGCATGTGAGCACTAATTAATCTTTGCGCAAAACATCCCCAAAGTAAATTTTTTGTGAAAACTCCACATCTCCAACACGTCTCTTGTTTCTTCCAGCATAGTGCATTTGTTTCAATTTCCATTCCAACATATTAANCCAACACGTCTCTTGTTTCTTCCAGCATAGTGCATTTGTTTCAATTTCCATTCCAACATATTAAATCTAATGGGTGTTGCGTGTTTGAGAATACGAGAACTGCAAATTTAGATAAGAGTGATAGTTTTTGACATCCTAATTTAATGTGATTTGAAATCAACGTGATATTTATGGGTTAGAAGTGACTAATTCTCTACACATGCAAATAAATAAATCGACATGTTAATATGAATAATAAATGAATAAATTTAATTTATTAAAATTTTAAAAAATAACTTAATTTAATGACATGATTTCATTATAATTGTTGAATAATATTTGATTATGAGTAATTAAGTTAATAAATTAGGTCTCAATAGTATTGCTATTTATTGTACCAGGGGAGTATGAAATTAATTGATCCTTTTCCTTTCAATTTGATTGCACCAATGGTTCTTGAATTGCTTCAAAGAGGAATTGACTTAAATATAACTCAACCTCCTTCAACGTATTTTTTTCCCAAAAAATGTTAAATAAATTTAAAAACTTAATTTGATGAATTATTATCGTTGAACAGTTAATAAGTTCCAATAAATTCTAAAACTCAAAATTAAATTATTGATAAATATAAATACATCGTCAAGTTAAATTTTTATGTGCTTTTTTCCCCCCAAACAATTGCTTATAAAGAGGATCTCAGCCCTATATATATCGTGGAAACAACCCAGAACCTCGTGTTGCNCCCCCCAAACAATTGCTTATAAAGAGGATCTCAGCCCTATATATATCGTGGAAACAACCCAGAACCTCGTGTTGCTCTTTGAGTCTTTGTTTCTCCTCAAAACTATGTCCAGCAACTTTCCGCCAAGCTTTGTTTGCACCTCAAACGAGCCAACTGGGATCCAATTAGAGACGCTTTGTGATTCTACGACATTGACCATCGAACCAGCTCACTTCTCTACGATCGACCCAACAAGCATTGCAAGCATTGCCAAGCTTGTGGAGACGAAAGACCAGACGTGGCTTAGGGGGCAGGGTGGAGTTGATGGGTTAGTTTCAGCTCTGCGTACTCATGCAGAGAACGGGATCAAAGACGATAGCACAGACATTAACAATCGACGAAGAGACTTTGGTTCCAATTTTTATGGAGAGGACAAACCTGCAAAGAAATTCCACCATTTTGGATTGGAAGCGCTTAAACATCCCATGATTATCATTCTACTTGTTTGTGCTGTGCTCTCTGTTTGTTTTGGCATTAAAGAAAATGGCCGGAGAGAAGGATGGTGTGAAGGAGTAACCAAACTTGTTGCAATTCTTATAGCTGCGACGATCTCTGCCGTAAGTAACTTTTTGCCACACAGGTTGTGTCACCAGTTATCTGAAGCTAGTAGTCATATCCCTCAGGTTCATGTTGTGAGAAGCAGCCAGTGGCAGCGGATATCAATTCCCAGAATTGTGGTTGGGGATATAGTTTTCTTGAAGCCTGGAGACCTAGTTCCTGCTGATGGACTCTTATTAAGTGGGTGCTCATTACAGGTAAGGTTGACGAGTAGGCCAAGTCGCATCCGACCCATACCTTCAGTGACATGGTTTAAATTCGCGGCGTTGGTCGTTGACTTGAAAAGTTTTGAAACACATTGGTTGGACGTGGTATTGGATGATACCATCTTAAAGAAAATGTTAAATATGACAAGAAATTCAGGTCATATCACGGCATCGTAGAACCGTATCAAACAATTTGGTGACGATTACTCGACCACTAAGAATTGACTCGAATACAATTCAAACAATTTGAACAAGTTGTGTGAGAATCAAGATTTGTACGTATCGTGTATTAGTATTGTCTCAAAAGATATCAAGTTGAATATAATTCGACCAATTCATATCGGACAATACTTTGAACCATGTTCCAAGACGATATCGTTACATGATATGTATAAACTTAAAATCTCGCACAACTGGACAAGTCGTTAGAGTTGTATCCGAGTCGTCAAGATATCGTCACCGAATCGGCCAATATGGTTTCGCGACACCGCAACCGATGTGTCTCAGAGCTCTACAAGTCGATGACCGATAACATGACCGGATTCATGATTTTTTTTTTTCAATTCATACCGCCCCTAAAAATTAATGAATGTTGGTTCTCGTGAATCGCTAAGCTTCTCGTGCTTGTTTTGAGGGTTCGTGTTGCGTTGATATGCCTATTTTACATGTCTATCTATGCATACCTACCTACCTGTTGATCTATTTCTTTATTATTATGAACAAAAGCTAAAAGTGGGTGCTAGTTACAGGTAAAGGAGGGACAAACTGAAGGTGTGGTGGAAGTTGATGGCCACGACAATCCGTTCTTGGGTTGTGGCAGTGAAGTGGTTTATGGGTATGCTCGAATGCTTGTTACTGCAGTTGGGAAAAACAGATGGACCCAGAAAATTCATGGGGAAATGATAAATCAGTCCCAACAACTAATCTCGGTGATTGGTAAATGATAATTACAACTATTGATTTCACTATAGGTCCAGTATTTATTGAGATCCACTATCTATTTAATAGTTGAGATTATCAAATTTAATTTTTAAGTCTATCTAACATTATTCTTATAAAAAAATCGTTAAATTTTAGAACAAGTCACAGTATAATTAAAGAACCCATCTTCACGTGGCTTGCATATGAGTGGTGTGCGTGCAAGATCCTGCACAATATAAAAAACGAGAACAGATCTCTCCTTTGGTGAATTCGAGTGAGCCGGTTGAGTGACCAAACACGCTGCTTGGGACAGCCTGCAAGGTACAGTGGTAACCTGGAACGGCAACGGGAGACCCTGGGAAAGGAAGAACGATCCAGTAAGGCTGAAAGAGGTTACTGGAACAAAGAAGAACAAATTAGAAGGGCGCCGGAGTGTTTTCCGGGGTATCCCCTCCGACGATCTAGTCAGTCTTTGAGAAAGAGAGAGGAAGGAGAAAACACTGAGAATGTATTGTAGTAGAGAGTTTTTTTATTGCATACCCGCTTTGCCTTTTGCAAGGAGTATTTATACCTTAAAAGTTCATGATTGCTGTCAGTGTGGTCAGTAGGTGATCATTAGGCACAGGTAGCGTGTGCATTGATTCTGATGAGGAATGTCTTCTCTAATTAACTGCTCGGGGTCCCGAGCAATCAATGCTGGGTCATCGGGATGCCGACGGTACAATGTGCTCCTCTCGGGGAGGATGCAATAAATGCTCTGTAATAGGAGCATTTATTGCCTTTCATTTCCGAGCCTTACCGCATTGAATGCGGTCTCATCAAGGGAATGGTGCAATTAATTGTTTGCTTTCCCAAGTCGCGTGTCAGCAACGGCATGCGGTTTGTCTGTCTTTGATGTGATATCATATGCCACGCGTCCATCCCCTATTGGCTGTGACCTCTGTATTCCAGTATGTTCTGACATTACTTGTGTAAGACGAGGTCATGATGACTAGCCTAGGCTAATGACCTGTACGTCAATAGCTTATCCTGGAGTAGAGGAAGCGTCCAGGAGGGGGTACCTCTCGGCACCGAGGAAAGGCTCATCTCGGGGACCGAGGGAGGTATGCCGACCGAGGTACATATCAGACCGAGGCCACGTGTCGGTTGTAAAATATACTGAATGTATGATCCTATATGACGGTACCTCGGGGGCGAGGACATTCGTGCGCCGATGGTGCTTGATCTTAGCAAAAGTGTTTTAGTAAAACCGAGGACACGTGTCTTCATCATAGGGTATTTCAGAAAAGTCCCATCAACTGCCCCCCAGCCTTCGATCTTCTGACACCGAGGACACGCGTCGTAAGGAGACGAAGGGTTTCCCAACAACCACCAGTACTTCATCATTGCCTCGAGCCGCTTTCCCCGGCTTGGGATGTCGTGCGCATTAAATGCGCCGTTTCGTTTTTCGCGCCCAATGATGAAAATTGCCTCTATATAAAGGGGGCTCCTCTTCCGTTTTCCTCGTTTTGCCATTTCGAACTTCCTCAAGAGAGCCTCTTCTTGAATCTTCGCCGGAGTTTTGTTTCTTCTTCCATCGTCGACTGCCCATTCTTCCTTAAAATCTTAAAGCCAGCAGACCCATCGTTGATTCTGAACTTTCTGGAGGGAGTCGCTTTAAGGTTTTCCAGAAAAAACTCTGTTTTGATAGTCGGGTGAGTTTCAGAATCCCCTTTCTTTTCTTCCTCCTAGCTTTTTGTTTTTCGATTGACTGGAGGTGTCATCCGGTTGATACATAGCGATTTAACCCTCGGGAAACTTCCTCAGGGATTTTCAAGAACAAATACCCTCTTCTTTCTTACTTTTTTAGAGATGCCTCGTCGTCG